CCCCAAAGCCAAAGCCACTCAGTCTTGTCGAGGTTCAGTTAAAGCCCATTCAGACCCCTGCAGCCTTCAGGCACTTGAACAAGACATTAATATCATTGCTTAGTTCACCAGGGATGGAAATGTATAATTTGGTATTATCAGTGTGATAACTCATCCCATGGCAAGAAATGACGTTACTCATTAACTTCATGTAGATGATAAAATAGGAGCAGAGAGATTACTGAACTTTGCAGCATCCCACATAATAGGAATTGCAGGTGGGACCTCATTCCTGGTCAACACCAACTGGACTGCTCCATAGGAAGGAAGAAAACCAGCCAAATACTGTGCTACTGACTCCCATCCCACAGAACTGATCCAGAAGGATATCATGCTTGATGCTATCAGAGGCCGCTGAAAGCTGAAGGAGAGCAAAGCTAGATAAGCTACCAACCAGAAATCATCTCAAAGTGACCAATTCTGTTTCCATCCCATGCCCAGGTCTGAGTTCTGACTGAAAGGGGTTGCAGTAATCCATTTCATCCAGGGCCCACTGGTCATGCAATTCAGATAGATGTTCATCTGTTGATTCCTTATGTGAGAGTTCAAACTGGAACTAAGTTGGATTTAAAACAGAGATGTGAACTGGAATAGTCCTATAGGATGCAAGAATCACTTGGGCAATTAGGAACTTTTTCTGGAAGCAAAGCCACAATATTTTAGTACAGTGTGGGGTTTAGGGGAGACATAGTCAAGGACATCTTGATCATATTAAATATTTTTTTCAGAGTTGCTCAAGATACTTTATAACTTCATAGAAACCCTATATGTTAGGCTTGGCTGAATTCTAATCCAAGGTTACCTAATGCAGAGGTCACCAACCTTGTGGGCACCAGGGACTAGTTCTGTGGAGAGAGGTTTTTCCGCGGACTGGAATGCGCATGGTCTTGTGTGCTGCCTGCATCCTGTGGATGGGGTTTTGCTTGTTTGTGCGGACCAATTGCTGGCATGCCGCGGACCAGTATTGGTCCACGGACCAGGGGTTGGGGACCCCTGACCTAATGGGTTTTATATATAAGTGGGTATTTGAACTAAGATCTCCCAGGTCAAAGTCTAACATACAAACCATCTGATAATCATCACAATTGACAATGCAACCTTTGCTAGTTTAATAATGGTCCTCATTATGTTCTGTGGTTTACAAGAATACTTAGAGCAGGGGTGTCAAACTGCTGGCCTGCGGGCCAGATGCATCATCCGGAAGCCGCGCCCACCCCATTGCTGGCAATGGCAAAACTGTCCTGATACATTGCACGACGTCACGTGGCGTCACGAGTTTGGCATGTCTGACTTAGAGGAAAGAATAACATGAGAAAGCTATGAATCTTTTGACAGTGAGCTCTATCCCTAAAGAATGTGGCATTGCATAATGCTCCTTTCAGTGGCAGTAACATATGAAGGGACAACAAACTAGCCAGTGTTTCCTCAACCTTGACAATTTTAAGGCATGTGGACTTCAACTCCCAGAATTCCACAGCAAGCAATGCTGGCTGTGGAATTCTGGGAGTTGAAGTCCACATGCCTTAAAATTGTCAAGGTTGAGAAACACTGAACTAGACTGCTGTGATGGAGGAGAAAAGAGGATGCTGGCTCACCTATGATCCAGAACTATAGGAAGTGCTCAAACGCCACACACAGCAGGAAGCAATTGCCAGAATTAGGGAAGCAACTTCTTGAATCTTGGCCAGGTATTGCAAATCCTTCCCAGGATGTAACTTGGCACCAACAGCTGCTGAAAATATACAAGACTATGTTGATTCCTGGACTCATCACATATCCGGAGGTAATTCTAGATCGAGAAGAAAACACAGCTTCATGCCTGATCGGGATTAAAAACTATATAAATGTCTGAAAGGTTCAGTTCTGCAGCCCTTGGGCTACTGAACTAGTCATCATACAGCACTTTTGATTAAGTGAGTATGGGATCTTTGACTTCTATAGAAATAGAACATTTTAAAAACACCAAATGACTTTTCTTGTGCCTGGGTTCATACTACATTAAGTGAAAGTGACTGAGTTCATACATAACCAATCAAAACAGGCCCCATTATGGCTTTCTGTGATACGTGAACCAAGCCACTGCCTCAAAATGTTTCTGATTTAAAATAGAAAAGTCAGAGGGTTGAATAGAGTGAGGGTGGAAATGTTTTTATAAGTTCAGCAGGTAAGCTCACCGGGTTGTGTTTTTTTCTTTAAGAAGTAATCAGAGTGGCCTTGTTTTTTTTATTTTTCTCACCAATATAAATCTACTGTAGTCCATGACTCAGTTAGAACATGGGCTGCAGTCAAAAAGTACTTATTTTTTTTCCTGGAAGTTTCTTGTTTTGAGGAGTAAGTTTCCAAAAGTTTACTGGAAAAACATACATTCATCATGTTTTTTTAGGATAATGGATCTAGTAAAGTATACTTGGGGGTGATTGGGTACCATCAGTCATAAACTGAATCTGAAAAAAATTGTTATGCATTTTGTTTTAAAAATACATTGTAATTCTTGTCTCAATTTGACAAAAATAGCTCTTTTTAAAATAAATACATGACATTTCCCTATTATTAAAAATGAGGTTTTTACTTCACTTTTCCTTTTAATCCTTTACAATTCTTTACAAGCAGTATTTTTCTATTTGAGAGAGAAAAAGATCCTTTGCAGCAATTTACCTCTGTGAATTTGATAATAACTCTCTTCATGGCTTTATCCACTTACATATATAAAATCACCCGTGTAAACTTGACTATTCTCTTTCATGACATTGTTACAACTTTCTTTGCAGTAAAGTATATGTTGACATTAAAAAGATAACGGTTGGAGTCACATAGAGAGCATTGTTTTCATAGTATTTGTGTCTAGACCCTTAACTCTTTAATCAAGAATTTTCTTTCTGTAGATCAGTCTGTAATCAAAGGAAAGAAATAACTTTTTCTTTGTTTTGTTCTCCTTTTTTATTTAATGTGATAGTCATCAGAGAGCACGAGTGCCCTCTAGTGAGGATAATGAGAAATGCTAATCTAATAAAAAAAGTATGCTTAAGACATGATTATTATGGTTTTTTTTACTAGCATAATACTAAAAAGAAATGGAGACTGAAATGTCAACACATGATTTGGTTTTTAAATGAATCATTTAACATTTAGAGAAGGAAAATATTCATAGTTTTAAAATGGACAAATAATTGAAAAGAACGAAGTCAAACAATATATTTTGATTCTTTAAATTCACCAAACACATTAACACATTCTGAATGCCAAGCTGTGATAAGCACCTTCTGAAACATTTTATATTGTGTAATATGAATATTTCTCTTTTATTTCTAAAACTATATTGATGCTATAAGAAACTGTACAATGAATATGACCCAATAATGTTCATTCTCAAACATCCAGCTAGATGGTAGTGAAGATTTTTGAAATAAACATCCCATTCTGAAAGGCTGAATTTTGCAGTTCATTTTTGCTTTTAGAATATGCGTTTGATTAAAATTCTTTTAATATTATTACTTTATTATCTATGCCAGCGTTTCTCAACCTTGACAATTTTAAGGCATGTGGACTTCAACTCCCAGAATTCCACAGCCAGCAATGCTGGCTGTGGAATTCTGGGAGTTGAAGTCCACATGCCTTAAAATTGTCAAGGTTGAGAAACACTGATCTATGCTAACTTGACTTGCAAATTATCGAAGGAGGTTTTTAAATGCATCTGTTAGCAGATGGGGCAGTGTGTTGGCTTAGCTGTTAAGAGGCTAGGCTTGTCAGTTGGAAACCTGATAACCCAAGTTTGAGACCCAACCACCACGTGATAGGGTGAGCTGCCGTTCTTGCCCCAGATCTGACCAACCTAGCAGTTTGAAAGCATGCAAATGCAATTAGATAAATAGGCACTACTTCGGTGGGAAGGTAACAGTGCTCTGTGATGTCATGCTGGCCACATATCTGCAGAAACGTCTTCACACAATGCTGGCTCAATGGCCTTGAAATGGAGATGAGCACCACCCTCTACAGTTAGCAATGACTAGCAGAATAAAATCCGCAGGGGTATATGCAAATGTTAAAACTACAAATAATTGAAGATAAAGTGAGGGAATATTAGACATAACAGCAGCATTCCAATCCATTTTGGAATGATGTCCCCTCTGAATATCCCCATCAAGCTCCCAGCCTGATGATGTTCTCTCAGGCCTTGGAGTACGACAGATGGGACTTTCCTGGGTGTGATGCTTTTGTAATAATTGTGTAGGTTTGTTTGCTTATTTTTGTAATTTCTTTCTTATTTTGTAATTTATTTTGTAATTTCCACTTTATTGTTTTTTGTTGCTTTTCATTTTTATGAGCTGCCCATACTCAGTTGGGGTCACACTGCATCAACATTGAATAAATGAAATCAATAACATATTTCTTAATGTCTAATTTTAAGTAGTCATTTTAAACTCTGAAGAACAGCATATATCTATATGAGCCTATCTAAATATTGATTTCATTGGAAGAATCAGGTAGTAGTTCCTGGAAAATACCATTTCTGTTGACGTCCCATCAAATTGGAATGTGTTCCTCTGGGAAATCTACCTTGTATTCCACAGGTTTCCCTCAACTGCTCCGTGAAAACATTAATAAATGCCTTTACTGTGCTAAGTGTGCTACAGCTACTAGGTTGTTGTTTTAATTGTAGTTCACTTGTTTTTAGGATGTTTGACAATGCTTTACAATTTTTGTTTAATTGTTTTCATTAAAATGTTAAATGATCTTAGGTCATTGTGTGGAAAGACAGAATAGAAACATTTCAAAAAACAGTTTATTTTTTATTTATTCATTAAATTTTTATGCTGCCCATAAAAACAGTCTTTGCACGGACTTCTAATCAACGACTGCTAGGAAATTTCTTATCCATGCAATGTCTTTTTGCTACAAGTGATCTCTGTCTCTCTCCCCTCTCCCCTTTTTGTCTGTCTGTCTCTCTTTCTTTCTCTCTCCAGCTCCATCTGATCCATTGGAACACTACCATGTATCACAGTATTGATGAGGCAGTCGGAAAGAAGAATGGTATAGTCATTATTGCCTTATTTGTGCAGGTAATTTTCCTTCTCTTTGCCATGATCATTTATTGTCTCTTAATTGCAGTTTCATTGCAATACTGCCATGATGGGTGAAACTATGGATCTCAATGCCTCTGTTCCACAACTATTACAAAAACAGAAGCAGACTGGCATTGTGTCTGTTCAGAAGAAAGTCATACTTTATGTCTTTTGGCAATACAAGCCCCTTTCATTCAAGCTGCAGATGACATTTAAGTTTGTGTTTACCAAGTGAATAAACTGAACTTATAGAAGTTGAACTGTGTTGAACTGAACTTATTATTCCTCTTCAAGCTTTTGGAACAAATATATGAAGGGCTTCTGAGTCTCACTAATTATACCTTTGTTTCAAAAATATTGAATACCTCATGAGGACTTGATTCTTGGTCAATATCCCTGTGGAGGGAGCCTGCATACCTACAGTTGTGTTTTAAGCCTGGTGTCCTTCAATTTGATATTTACCATGCACCAATCAAGATATAGCCAATCCTGGCAGTGGTCTAAGGAGTGAGCAAGGTGGCAGTTTTCACAGTCTCGTAGAGTAGAAAGTACTGTATTCTTTTTTGAAAAGATTATGATTTTACTTTTGTGGTAGATTTTGTAACTTGCACTGTGGCCTTTGGAAATAATCATAATGTTTACTTTCCCTCACACAAACACTAGGTGGAAGCAAAAAGTTAGACTTTTTTGTATCTCTTTGGTGCCATCTTGTGGTCATCTTGATTTGTGTAGCCCATGCACAGTTGCCATGATGCACTCTAGATCAGGGGTCCCCAACCCCCGGTCCGTGGATTGGTAACGGGCCGCAGCATGTCAGCAACTGGGCTGCACAAACAAGCAAAGCCCCATCCGCAGGATGCAGGCAGCACAAAAAACCACACCCCCTCTGGTCTGCGGAAAAACCTCTTGTCATGTAACTGGTCCTTGGTACCCAAAAGGTTGGGGACCTCTGCTCCAGATAATCTATATTGCATTCATTTTTGTGTTAGATTTATATCCTGTATTTTGTCCAGAAGCACAGAGTTGTTTACATACATAAATAAAATTAAGAAACAGTATAACTTACTCCCATTTTTCCTCAACAACCTTGTGAGGTAAGTTGGGCTGAGAGAGACTAACAGGTTTGAGCTTTGATGATTGAGGATAGACTAGTTAAGGCACCAGGCTAAAAACTGGAAGACCATGAGATGTAGTCCCATCTTAGGCATGTAAGCCTGCTTGGGTGAATTTGAGCTATTCATTCTCTCTCAGCCCAACCCACCTCACAAGGATGTTGTAGGGAAAATAGGAGGAAAAAAGAGTATTAGATATGTTTGCCATTTTGAGTTATTTATAAAAAAATAATAAAGGTGGGATAATAAATAACTTTTGATGCTATGCAGATGAACCAGGATGGGGTTTCTAAAGTTGGGGTAGTTTGGGACCTTTATTCAAGAAAAGGTTTATTATGTTTTCAAATTATCTGTTTTGTTTCTTCTGCCAAAAAATTAAACTAACATTTTTCAGCAGCAGTTTCATTATGGAGGCTCTCTTGGACCCCAAAAAGGTTTCTTAAAGTAGTTTTTGGGCTCTGTGTTGCTCCCCAGCTTAGAAGAGAAATATAGTAGAAGAAATTTGGAAGAGTGAAAGGATCAAGGACCATGTCATGTCTGGAACTGCTGTGAACTGCCAAGTAATAGGATACAGGTAGTCCTTGACTTAAGGACATTCATTTAATTATGGTTCAAAGCTATGATGGCCTTGGAAAAAGTAACTCATGATCTATATTTGCACTTTCAACCATTGCACCACCCCCAAGGCCACGTGAACACAATTCACAGTTGCTTGACAACTGGCTTATATTTATGATGGTTTGTAGAGCCCTGTAGTCATGATTTGCAACATTTCAATGCCAATTTCTGGCAAAGAAACCCATGGGGAAGTTGGATTTGCTTAATGACCTGGCAATTTGCTTAATGCCCACTGAAAAATTGTTGTAAAAATGGGTCTGACTCAACTTACGACTGCAATGATTTATAAGAAAAATTCCAGTCCCAATTAATAATAATAATAATAATAACAACAACAACAATAATAACAGTAACAGTAACAACAACAACAATAATAATAATGTTGGAAGGGACCTTGGGGGTCATCTAGTCCAACCTCCTGTTTAGGCAGGAAACCCTATACTATTTCAGACAAATGGCTGTCCAGTCTCTTCTTAAAAACTTCCAGTGTTGGAGCATTCACAATTTCTGGAGGCAGGTTGTTCCACTGATTAATTGTTCTATCAGGAAATTTCTCCTTAGTTCTAGATTGCTTCTCTCCTTGATTAGTTTCCATCCGTTGCTGGCTGTAAGTGGTTGTAAGTCAAGGAATACCTACAGTAGAATAGTGAATGGCAAATAGAAATGTTTCTTCTTGAACCATATTTGAATGGTTTTTTGTAGACTTCTATTTCTCGTCTTAAATTCCTTGCAGACTTTGGTGTTTGATTGGAAAGATGTATGGCTCTAGTGCAGAGAAGACTGCTAAAAATAATGAAAACTTGGTCTCCTAAAGGACTTTATAATTGCTTTGGAAGCTGTTATCCAGTTTCTTCAAACCTAACCTTGGAATTAATCAGAAAGTTAAATTAAATTGTTAAATAAATCTCTTTAACTTATTACTCCATCTCATTCTCGATTCAATGTACTCTTTTTTTGGCAGGAAAGTAGGTATTTTGAAAATATCTCTTCACCTGATCCTTAAGTGCTGTATGTCCTATGATTAAGAACCAATTGGGTGGATGCCAAATTCATTTCATGGAAAACACATACACTTATAAAGTACATGTTATATAATTACAAGCATCTAGGTACAAATAACAATTGACTATCTAGGATGAGGTACATATTTCCACTTCTGTCAATATGTTAAGTCAGGAGTTCCCATAAAGACCACTTGCACAGCTCCAAAATAGAGGAAATGTACTATCACTTCCATTGACAACAGCAACAGATAAAAGAGCACAGTGATTTTGTATCTCATTTTATTTATATGAATTGATGCAGCAGAACTGTGTCTGCATCAGCAGGGATGCTCTCTGCTGGTAGAACAAAACAATTAATTCCCATTTTCCCATGGCCTCCTCCACATCATTAAAATTTGCTCAGATGGAACAGTTTTTTAATGGTGTTGAGGAAATTTTAAGTACTCTTCGATAGGTGGACTTTTAAAGAAATCTTCAATCAGCTAAAGGATATGCCTATGCAGTCTGCTGCCCAGGTGCCAATTATTAACAAGCAACTTTCTCCTCTTATGGCGCTGTGTATTTTAATGAGGATCTGCATAGCCCTTCGAGCAAATGATAATTCACCGTCATAGCTGCCAGAGTTCTGCATGAGCATATGGAGTTGTCTATGTCTGTGGGATATTTAAGAGTTGTAGATATTAAATAGCTTTTTTCCAAGGTTTGAGTCAAAACAGCCCAATTAGATTTTATGCTGATTAATAAAAACAGTGTTGATCAATGGTTTCTATTTATTGGCCTCTCCAGTATCTATCATTGTCATATTGTGACTTAGACTCAGAATGCAAATTTCTTTCTTATGAATGAATTGCTGTCCACATTTTAGAGTTGCTTCTGCTCCATAATCACTTGAGTGTATTTGTAGCTCAATTAATTACCTGCTTCTAGTATTTTATTCTTATGGCCAAAACAAACAAAATCCAATTAAACTGAGTGTAGCAAATGTGTAAGATGTTGATGAAGGTTGTTTAACTCATGAAAATGTTTCCTACCCAGTTATTACACTTTAAATCAACTTTCAAAGTATGCCATATTTTCATTTTTTGAAATCCAAAAGTACATTTTTAGAACAATCTTAATTTTGTGCAATAATCTGATCAAGTTTTGAATGTTCTCTCATTTCCCTTCCCAGAGACTTCACCCTTTAACCTGAAAAGAATAGAAACTTAATTTCTGAACTCATCCAACCAAAGGGAAGTGATCACTATTCTGTGTAATTGGTTCCATAGGCAAACTGTCTTTTGTATAATAGAGGTTTTATTTTCAGTTGGATTGTGCTCTTCTGTCATTGTAATCTGCTACTCTATATCCACTACCTTTGTTTTTTTTTTAAAAAAATATTTTATTAATTAAGTATAATATAAATAAATCCAAACTCAACCCCCAAAACTCCACTATTCACCAAGAATTCCATTTATTCTCATGTGTGCTTTATTACTATTATACATTTCTATAGAGCATCATATATCTGCACAGATCCAGAAGAAGTATACTTTCAGTCCCCTTTATCTTCACTTTTTTCTGATAACTCTTAGAAGCTGTTCTGTTATGTACCTGATCCTTATTCCTGGCATACACCACAATTCATCAGCATTTAAGTTCTTTATAACAGTGAATTATCAGTTTCTCTTTGTCTTTTATAGAGCAAAGTTGTATCTGATGCTGTCTCTGATTCTGCAGTATCTGTTTTTTTTCTTTGAATAGTCTGCTTGATCTTCAAGGATCTAAAACCTGTTGTTGTTTTTTTGTTACAGCAGTGTAGAATGCCTTTTCTGTCTTTTGCTATTGGTTGTTACTCTAATCCACTGTCCCTGTTTCTCTTCCCCCCCTTTATTGAGAGTTTCTCCTATTATGTGTTTCTGTTGGGGGGATTCATTTTCTTGAATGGATACATCTTTTCATTCAAAAAAGGCAGGCATAGCCACACTCCTCTGTGCATGAATAATTCACCTGTTGACATGGTTACCAGCATCAAATTCCTGAGTGTGCAGTTAACAAGTAGGGTGGCTTGGTAGCTCAACAGCGAGAATCTGGTGAAGCGGGCACAGCAGCACCTGCGTTTTCTGTGTCGCATGAGAAAAGCACATCTTCCTTCCCCTGTCCTTACCACTTTCTACAGAGGGAAGATCGAGAGCATCCTATCATACAGCATCACAGTCTGGAAGCATCACTGCTTCAGACAGGAAGGCAGTGCAGAGAGTGGTGAGGATGGCTGAAAAGATTATTGGCAGTTCCCTCCCATCCAGGACATAGCATATAAATGTTGCTTGAGCTGGATTTGCAAGATTGTCCGGGACACTACACATTCTCTTCACGACCTGTTTTCTTTGTTACCTTCGTGGTATCCGAAGCAGAACATTCAGATTCAGTCAAATTTTGTTCCATACAGTATTAACCTTGTGAACTCTAAAGCTTCCTCCTTCCGTTATGTATTCAAGATAGACAGTGATTAATATTTATATATTACTTATATGTAAAGGTGTAGGTCTATACATATGTTGCATATAATACGTTTAAATGTGTGTTGTGTACACTTAGCAAGCAATTAAATTTCATTTTTAATGTGTGCCATTGCGCCCACAGTAAAAATGACAATAAAGGTTATCTATCTATCTATCTATCTATCTATCTATCTATCTATCTATCTATCTATCTATCTATCTATCTATCTATCTATCTATCTATCTATCTATCTATCTATCTATCTATCTATCCATCCATCCATCCATCCATCCATCCATCCATCCATCCATCCATCCATCCATCCATCCATCTATCTATCTATCTATCTTTCAAAGTATGGCCATTTGCTATCCTAAACCATTGGTTTTTCTTCAAGGACTGCTATGAACTTGCTTTTGCTGCAAATACTATTTTCAGGCAGGAAGATAAGCATGCCACAAGCATTGTGGGTCTTAATAGCATATAGTTATTTATTAATCTTCATTTTTGCTTCTTTAAATACCATTCATATTAAAGCTTTTACTCGTTCTTTTTCCCTTCTTGGTGTCTCACATTAGCGAAGTTGAACATGAGTTATTAGCATTCCCTCTAATTCATTCTTGGAACCTTATATTCTCCATGTCCCTGCCAACATTTATTTGTTCATTCAATTTCATTCAATTCATTCAAAATTTGTCAAGTCTGGCACACTAACAAAGGACCATAGGTCTGGAGTAATAGAAGGATTAATTAAACCAGCTGATTTTTTTTAATCCGTGGGATAGTTTTTTCTTAATTCACACACATGTACATTCTTGCAATTAATATATTGTGAAATAACATAAATATACACATGACATACATTTTATATACATTTATGTAAAAAGGTGGGATTAAAAAAATCTAATCATCATGATTAACTACCTGTATAGAATTCAGATATAAACAATATCTGTTTGGAATCTGGCCTTCAACTGCTAATTATGCAGTTACTTTATGGCCTGTATTGCTATATAGATAAGAAGTCCATGGCAGTTCATTCATTACTCGGTAAAGAATTATGCAAGGTGTTCTTGGATAATTAAATTACTCTTTCTTAGCCTTCTAGACCAGGGCTTTTCAACCTTTTCACCCATTGTACCACTTTTAGGATATGACGACATTTGAGTACCACCTAGCAAGGTGTCAAAAACTTGCTGACCAAAAAAAAAGGAAAAAAGTGATAAAGTACAGGCAGTCCTCGACAGTTCACTTAGTGACTGTTCGAAGTTACAATGGCACTGAAAAAAGTGCCCCCCAAGCCACAGCTGAGCAAGACACCTGCCTGTCCGCCCGGCTGCGCTCTTCCTCCTGTCCGAGGTTTTCATTGTTGTGAGCATTTCTGTTGAGGATTGGCAATAGAGGTGGGGTAGGGGGGTGTTTGGTTTTTACTCCCCCCGTCTGCTGGGTGGTTGCAGCAGATTTTGGTCACTTCACATGATCCTGGGACACTGACTGTCATAAATATGAGTCAGTTGCCAAGCATCTGAATGTAAATCACAAGACCCTGGAGATGCTGCAATATTCCAGCTGATCGGCGCTTCTTCTGGGCTCAGCAGAAGCACCAGGATCAGCATCGAGCTCCAGCTGGAGCCTGGCGCTGATCCTGGTGCTTCCCCTGAGCCCTGACAGCCCCGAAAAAGCGCCGATCAGCTGGAAAGCGGCACGACAGCCCTGCAGCTCCAGCCATCTCTCGCTCAGGCTTGTGCGGTGCTGCCACCGGTTCAGCTCATTCCCTTCCCCCGCTACCACTTTTCTAGGATGGTTGCGTACCACTTGCCAGGTGCCAATGTACCACAGGTTGTACCTGTACCACTGGTTGAAAAGCCCTGTTCTAGACCCACTGAGTTTTATTTGCTTTTTTCTCTGTTTTGTCCTTTCATAACATATGTAAGTTAAGTTAGGAAAGAACAAAACAGAGAAGAAAGGAAATGAGACACAGTGTAGCAAGAATAGTGCAGCCTAGGACCTTGAAGATCCAAGTTTAAATCCAAGTGCACTGTAAAGTACTCTGGATAAGTCTAGCTAGTTACTTTCTTGCAACCTGTCACATAGCATTCTTGTTGTGAGATTATAACAGAGGTAAGTTCTCTTGAACGCTTTAGAAGGAAGATGGTTTTTAATGTAAGAAACAACAACATAAATGTCATGAATTTCACATAGGAATGATAACATATATACATAATGAATAATATTACTTTTTTTTAGTTTGATATAACAAAGTGTCAGAGAATAATGTGTTGTTAAACCTATTTCAGAAAAAGAGTAACCTGTATTGTATTTCAGTATTTATTTATTGTTGGTTTTATTTCAGATAGGAAAGGAACATTCAGGCCTAAAGGCTGTGACTGAGATTCTGCAAGACATTCAGTATAAGGTGAAATATCTTCATTATATAATTGGGGATCAGGTACTTAATATGATCTGAATTTCTGGAGAAATGGAATATACAGCAGTCATTTATTTAATATACTTATACTCCTCTTTTCTCCTCAACTAAATATCCAAAATATTGAAATATCAATTGCAATTCTATATTAAAAATCACATTTGACATTAACATTCATTAGCAAAAAAGAGAACCATCTTTATAATCAAAACAAGATGTAGCCAAAAGGTAAACTTTAATTTGACAGCCAATGTGAACCTGTGCTTGATTCGCAAATATGCTTCTAGTTCAGAAGCCATGAACAGCTTTAGATGTTTTGATGTTTTTTTAGTGTTTTAATGGTTTTCACAGTTTTTAATATTTTAAACTGTTTTTAAGATTTTAATTGTAATATATGTTTCTGAATTGTGAGCTGCCCAGAGTTGCTTGCTGAGATGGGCAGCTATAGAAACCAATCAGTCAAACAAACAAACAAAACAGCTAAAAATCTATAAGCACTCCAAATTAGAGATCTGCTTTTACAGTTGTAGGAAAACCTCATCCAAAAATAAGCTGGCCTACAATTCTCTAGCCAGTTTACTAAGAACACTTCTATCTTATCTGGATTTAACTTTAATTTGTTCTGTGTCCTCTAGTGATTATTGAACTTAGGCAATTATAAATGGTACTAGCATTGTTGGATTTGGATTCTAATGTTCTATAGGCTTACTGATGACACCCAGTCCAAAAACATGAATGACCCTCCATCTCCCCCCCCAAAAAAAATATTGAACAGAAGGAAGGCAAAATGAAATCAGATGGCTCATCATACCTCAGTATCAACATACCTTTGGAGCTTGGCTTAAGAGAAAGGAACAGAATTGCAAAATAGTGACTCTAAAGACCAATACCTCCAGACAGTCCAGAAGGATACCATTCACTGTAGCCTTGTGTAGGACTTTCAGATACTGAACCTGCAGTAAACATTTACAGTGGGGCAGCTTTTCCAGATGCTTTGTAACCTATATTGGTTTTCATGTTGCTGGAATTGGGATTATGTGAAACATTTAATTCTATGTGTTGAAGGTTCCACATTTCTAGTATTCAAATAGTCCTCTCTAGATTAAGTCATTATTTTCAATTAAGAGTATAACAAATTCCAATCACTTTGATATTTTCAGAGATTGATAGAACTCTTAAGGGCAACCAAGTCCATCCAGAAAAATGATGTGACATTTTGAATATTTCTTTTTAAAAAATATTCATATTTCTGGATAGCATTCACCCATTCATCCCATTCACCCATTCATCCCACTTTTATATAAAGTTGACTTGGCATGGGTGCTTGCATCATCATTTATCAATGCCAATGTAAGTCAAACTGATCTTATCTGCTACAAGCCTACACAATAGGTTATGAGAGGTAAACTAAGATTGATTTCTGGGAGACCATTATAATTACATCATTTTCCTTCCTTTCCTTTTGAAATACTGCATAAATTACAGTCCACTTTTTCCTAAATCCACATATTTTTTTTGCTTAAGAACTAAAACCAATCTGGATTCCGTTAACTTTTCAGGGTAACTCCAAGACAATACCTTGCTTCAATCCTAACACGTTATTACCAGGTGAGTACTTATTTTTGTGCCACAAAATTTTTGTGCACACTAAACATTTGCTTTTTAGTTGTTAACAGTTAGAGTCTTTGCATACAAATGGGACATGAATCAAATAAAAAAAAACATTGCTATCAAGTTATCAGCTTCGACTAACAGTTTTAATTTAATTGAATTGCTAACAAACATAGCTCTGAACACAATACATTCCAGTGTTCTGTAACCTAGTTATACTCTAGCTTCATTGAGGCTACAGCTTCAGCTAGACATTCTCAGAAATGTAAATTCATTTTCATTAAGAGATCATCAGGATGAGAATACTGGTATAGCCCATTGTAACAAAAGTCTTGACCAAAACACTATGTGTGGAATACTCACCAGGTAGCATTTCTATTTTTTACAGGACTGAATCATAGTTTTCAAAATATTTGTACTTGTATTACATTAAAGTATAATACCAATAGAATTCAGACAGGTAATATCTCAATTGGCAATTATATCTTAATATATAATATTTACACAGTACATTTATTGTGAAAAGTATTTCATATTTTGTAACTTGTTTTTTAGATTGGAAATACAATAAGTTACTATTTGGAATCTATGAGTTTTTTTCCCTTTTGCCTAGGACTTCTTATCTATTAGAATGTAATAGAGGTTCTGGGTTTTACACTTATATTTTCCATGCACTGTAAATGAGAAATACATGCTTACAGAGAACTAACCTGACTCACAGAATATTGTGAGGTCTTGGGAGTCTTCTTGTCTAAGTATTGTTGATATTTAAATAAATATATATTTCTTAACACAATAAATAGTTGAGAATAGTTTCATTAATTAAAAAAAATCTCAAATAATATAGGTAAATATGTTGTAATAGAAAGGTTTGCTGTTTGGAGAAATTATAAAACATCATAATACCCCTTAGCATTGTTTACCATTATTAAAATTAAGAGAAAAAGACATAAAAGAGGCACATAATTGAAACAAAAAGTTTCTTATTAGTTATCTAATACCTAGACAGGTAGTATTCTTGAGTGACTCCTTTTTTCATTTCCAAGGACAAAATACATTTTTGATATTTTACCAGTTGCCATTCATTAAATGTATATTCACTTGGTTTGAGAAATCTGTGACTATAATGGATGCAATTATGGATAGAATGGATAGAATTCTAAGCAAATTCAACTGGGATAAAATAAAGGGTCGCAAAGGAATTAAATTTGATAAAGTCAATATATTCCATCAACCTCTAGATAACTCTGGATCCAATTTGGTTCTTTTGGACTTTAACTAACTGATATACGTGCATGTGTGATGAAATATTGAGAGATAATAAAATACTGTTAGATTTTGATATTATTTCTAGGCATTTCATAGCATTTAAGAAAAGAATGCAAACATTTCATGAATTTTGGCTATTATACAAGTTTTCAGCAATAACAACTACAACAACAGTAATAGCGCTAAGAGAGGCGAACAAGGGAAATAATGAGATTGAAAACAGAATATTGAAAGGAAACAATTGAGCATTGAGTTTCTAACTGGAAAAAGAAGCCTATGCACAGTCAATACCTGAAGGACATTGAAGGAAAGGCAGATACAAAATGGAGCTGGTTGAGATTAGAGGTACTGAAGAAAGAAATTGAAGGCTTCATTTTGGCGGCTAAAGAACAAGACTTGCAGACTAATTCCATGAAAGCAAAAATTCAACACATAAGTAACAACAGCAAATGTTGCTTATGCAATGAGAAAGATGAAATAGTGGATCATCTTATCAGTGGCTGCAGCAACATTTCACAGACTGATTATCTACAATGTTATGATCTAATTGCCAAAAACATACATTGGAAACTTTGCCAGAAGTTTGGTTTGAATGCAGTAAAAATCACCGGGAATACCAAGTTGACAAAATTCTTAAAATGAATAGGTCAAGATCCTGTGGAACTTTTGGATCCAAACAAATTCTGGCCCACAACACTCCTGACATCACTATTGTGGAAAAGAAATAAAACTTATTTCTTTTGCAATACCACGTGATGCATGAATTGAAGAGAAACAGCTAGAAAAAATAATGAAATATTGTGATTTGCAAATTGTAGTTGATTTATTGTGGAAGAAGAAATCAATGGTTGCACTGATATAATAGGAGCCCTTGGAGCAATACCCAAAGGGCTACCAAGATACATGGAAATTTTGAACTTATTAGACCTGAATATTCTGACTTTGCAAAAAAAATGCCTATATACTCAAAAGTTACCTTAACAGCTCTTAGGTCTTTGGTTAGAATTTGAACCAGTGGTGGGATTCAGCCAGTTCGCACCACTTCGGCAGAACCGGTAGCTAATTTTTTGTTGCCCAGGCCCAGAATGGACTTCCAGAAGTAACATCCACATAGAGAACCAGTTGTTCATATATTTGAATCCCACCACTGTTTTGAACTGTTAAGTTTTTACCAGTCCCAGACTGAATCGAATTGAAGATTAAATCTTAAATAATAATAATATTGAACAATACCTAATGTCTGACTATTAGATGTTCCTTTGGACTTAAATAACATATTTTTTACTTAAAGCTACAGGATAGATGGTAAAATTGGCTGAAAAATTCCAACCCCAGTTTTCATCTGACTTTACACTTTTTTTAATTTTCTAATTTCTACAGTAGCAACCACCATTGTAGTTGCCATGCTTTCAATTTCAATTTGAATTGTTTCTAATGGAAAGGACTGCTTTTATAAGACTATCCTGAGAAGCATATCACCATTTTTTCTATTGCATTGTGCTAGAAAATTAGTCTACACAAACCTCTCTGTGCTGTAAAATGATCTAGGGATAAAATTCTGCAAGTTGCCTTTTATGAAATACTTTCTAGGGACTCTTGTTTGACAGCTGTAGATCGCATACAGAAAAAGTTTGATGATTTCATTTCTTCAACTATGTTTACATTATTGCTTTCAAACCAAGGTATCCATTCAATTTCAGATCCACTGCTAAGAGACTATTGGGTGTATGAAGGCTCTCTCACGGTCCCACCCTGCAGTGAAGGTGTTACATGGATCTTATTTAGATATCCTTTAACTGTATCCCAAATTCAGGTAATGGTTGTGCTTATGACCACAGCCTGAAATTCTCAGTGAAAGGTTACAACATGCAGACATATTGCAAGGCATTATACTTGTTCTTTCCTGGAAATCTCATTAAATTGACCCATTTATGGCTTTTAAAATAAAGGTTAAATCATTTGTGTTATTAAAATGGAAAGGTCAGAAATGAAGAACTGTTGTTACTATTTTTCTCGTATATTATAAAAATAAAAACTTAACATGAAAAAAAGAAAGAAAAGTAAAGGAGAAAAGAGAAATAAATAAATGCCCAGCAATTTTCTTTAAAAAAAAACTTAAAACGAGCAATAGCAGATGTTTGAACAGATGTGCCAAATAGCCTTGTTTGTGTGCTCGAGGACCTAATGCAATGCTATCCAGCAGTTGCTAGCTAGTTTTACTTTCCAGAGCCATTTCAACCAGTGCCAGCATGTTCCATAGCTGACACAGAATTCACATGAGTCTAGGGCAGTGGTTCTCAACCTTTTTAATGCCATGATCCCCAACCGGTCGTAAGTCGAGGACTAAACCGGTCGTAAGTCGAGGACTAAACCGGTCGTAAGTCGAGGACTACCCAACCGGTCGTAAGTCGAGGACTTTCCCTGCCTGGGAGCGCCGCGCATGCGTGGTTCCGCCCCCTGTGCCGGCCGAGGCGTAGCTGGCAAGCGGCAGAGACGGAGCAGGCCGACCACCAGCTGGCCCAGCTCAAGGGAGGTAAGGCACCCGCCAGAAAAGGGGAAAAAAATGGCGGACAGCCTTGCTTGGCGACCCCCGTGAAATGGTCGATCGACCCCAAATGGGATCGCGACCCATAGGTTGAGAACCGCTGATCTAGGGGACAATTATAGATAACGTGAAATTCTCTCTTCATGGGAAACTTTGGTTTCTGCCACTCAGAAAGGACTTTTTTTGAATGATATATGCTTCCTTCTTGCTACTATCCATGTTTGACAAAAGGACATGATTACAGTATTGCAAGCAAGGCCAGCAGGTAACAGACAGTTAAGGGCACATGCAGGTCACCTGCTATTTTTCTTTTAAATAGAAGTGTACAGGCTACTGAACCAGATCAGATTAATAGTGTTTTCCCCCTCAAAACCCCTGACTTATTTCATTTTTATTGGTGGCAAGCAACTGTGTGTCAAACTAATTCGCATTTTTATTTTATTAGTTTGTTTTAACTCTCAGAGGATTCTTGTGTTGTTTTTGTTACAAAAGACTAACCTCTCAAAATTGCTGCAGTGGTAGACTCTAGCTATATGGAGTGGAAATCCATCAGCTTCACAGATATTCCCACTCAGATAAAGACAGATACTATACTTTTAATGAAATGTGAACTACAGGACATTATTTCTAAGTGGCTGCAGATGAAAATCTACTACAGTGTGCCTACTATATGTACATGCCAAAGTGAACTGAAGCATCTGATCAGCATATTTTAAAGCAAAGAGTGCCCCAGTATCAACATTTATGTACATGTTTGGCTTTGGTATTATTTATCATAAATGCCCCATCATACTCCATACTAGAGATACTAATAGTTTCTATGCAAAATAAATATCCAATAGGTTGTAGGAAAATAATTCATTACCATGCATACTCAGTCACTAACCTCAATGCTTTTTTATAAAATACCGTATATACTCGAGTATAGGTCGACCTGAATATAAGCCGAGGGACCGATTTTCCCACAAAGAACTGGGAAAAATTGGTGACCCGCTTATAAGCCGAGGGGGCATTTTGACTGTTCCTCCCTGGCCGTCTCGGCCTCTCTAGCCCTGTCGGTGAGCGCCCGTTAGGGCGCAGCGTCGCCAGGCCTCCCCCCTTCGCGTGAGGCGTCTGGCGTTCCCCCTCGCGCTTGGCTGTGGCGGCCCGGGGTATTCCGTCCCGGCCTTGACACGCAGCGCCGCAGGGAACGGAAGGTAAGGGGGGAGGGCCGTACCTGGAGCATCACAGGCCGGGGCGACGCCGGGAACGAGCTGGGTGGCCGCGGTGGCGGCNGGAGGGGGAGCGAGCGGCGAGCCGCCGTGGCTTGCCTGGCGGCGGCGGCGGCAGCAGCAGCTGCTTCAAGACGTTGACTCGAGTATAAGCCGAGGGGGGCATTTTTCAGCCCCAAAAATGGGCTGAAAAACTCGGCTTATACTCGAGTATATACGGTATATCCTATTTAAAGAAGTCAAGTTTTGATGCATTAAATTATGTGCTTAGACATTCCAGACTTCTTGCAACAAAACATAATATGCTGATGAATATATACTTTATACTATAGAGCTTTTATACATGCTAAAATAATTAGGATATGCAGACAGCAGCACTTTTGTCACTTAAGATAAAGAAGATTTAGAAGATCTCATTAGGAACATAAAATAAAAGTGAAAAATCTAGGATAATGTTACATATTAGGAAGACAAAAGTGATGTCAACAAGCTTGGCAAAGATGATTCCGTTTTCTTGGCCTAAAGAATAGGTAAAAGTGGAAGAGGGGATTAATCCTAGGGAAAAGATCCTGAAAGTTAAGAATATTACTGTGATCAGAAAGATCAGAATAGTTAAAGCAATAGATTTCATAGTAGCGATGTATGGACATTAAAAAAGAAGATAAAAGAATAATATTGCTGAGAATTATGAATATATAGGTAACTATTAAGTGTACCATAGATGCAAGAAGAACTTGTTCATTTTGCACAAAATAAAGCCTGACCTATTTGGGACATGTGATGTACATAGGTAATACACTAGACAAAAAATTACAAGGATGGGACAGGATTGAGGGTAGTAAAGGCAACAGGTAAGATGAATAGATGGGATCAAAAATATTACAGGGCTGTCTTGGAAGACCTACAAAATATTGCTGAAGATAGTTATGATAACAAGCATTTGTCCATGCAGTCACCAGAAGAGAATATTCAATATATATTTATTCATTGCTGTTTCTCCTCTTCACTCATTCATTCTGCTGCTGCTACCACTACTACAACTATCACCACCAATACTATTAACTTTACAGTATTCTGCTTTTTTTCAGAAAGAAATCTCTCTGTTTTACATAAGATCATTTCTAACAATAGTACATATACTGTTTACAGATATTAACAATAAGGGCAGATCTTTCCTTCTTTGTTTTTTGCTTATAGATCAGTTGATTATAATTTATTCTTGGTGAGAAGTGGGACAATTCCTGCTTGGCTAAATATTTTTTCTCTCTCCTATGTTTATGACACTTTCTATGACCCCTGTAATCATTTGCTTACATTGTCCCAATGATTCATTTTAAAAGCGTATTGTTCTCTGGAATAGTTAGTTTTGCCTACTCTCTCATAAACCCTTATTTTCTGTTTTTAAAAGGTTAATTTTGTCCTGATTTTCCAACAATTGGGTTGTCTCCTTGTGAAATACAAGGCTCATGTTACAATTAAGCAAGAATAGGTTGTCAAAGCTTTATAATAAAGAAATGAATCGACAACAGTTAGAATAGCCAGGTGGCTTTGATGTTGTTGATTCATTTCAGCCTTGTAATCATGTCATAATAAAACAGAGGAATGGAAATGTGTTGAAATGTTGGCACATTCCCAAGTTCATACTGGATTTTTTCACTTCTATTTTAATCCAATTTCTGTTTGTAATGATCATTACTTTGACATAGTAAAGTCTATAATACCTCAAAAGCCTTCTTCACAATGTTCCAAAAGATGTAAGAAACTGTAAATTTTAATGCGAGAAGAGGGGAAATGAATTAATGCATGGGAGTATCCGATACACTTTCTTTAATTTATTTTATTTAATTTTAATTCAGTTTAAATTTACTCTTGGTTACATATTTTTTAAAAAGCTTTGTATGCCATAACAATTGAGTGGTGGGATGTATATTAAATAAAGAGAGAAAAAATAACTTATATATATATATATATATATATATATATATATATATATATATATATATATATATATATATATATACACACACACACACACTTTTACAGTGTAACTACTAATTGAGGGAGTCAAATGTCCATTTCCTTGTTTTATTAGATAGAAGAGTTTCGAGGACTGAGGACTCATATTAAAGGAGCAGAGCTCCTAGAAGGTTGCGATGGAAACTTAGGAGATAATTTTAGACCAACACAGCCACTTAATGACAGAGTCATAAGGGCTGCTTTCCAGTAGCAGAGACAAATGATTAAAAAAAGAAAAAGAAATATAGTCAAAATATAGGTAAGTGAAAAATCAAAATACTGACTTGTGTAAAATATGACTTCTGTGCTAATTTCAGCATAATGCATTAAAGACATATTCATTTCTTTTGGAGAAGCAGAACTGTATAATATCTGTACATTGTGTTTTGACCAGATTTTAAATATATGAAGTCATTTTTAGACTCAACCACAGAGTTGAAAGAGGACATTTATGCCTTTAAATCCAATCTTGCATTGTGCAAAAGTCTTAATATAGGATTCCCTGGCAAATAGCAATTCAGTCCCTTTGTTTTAATACTACCATTGAAAAGTAGCTCACCTCTTTGACTAATTGTTTCCATTTTGTCAAATTGTTTTTATTTTATTTATTTTATTATATTTTTTCCTAATATTCATACTTACTAATATTTTTCCCAATATTAGGAAAATATTTCTTAATATTTTCCTTTAATTTAAATCCATTATTCTGTGTTCTGGAATGGCAGAAAATAAACCTTAACCTTTGTCCGATGCTCTTTTCAGAAATTTGAGGAATGTTCCATAACTGCCAATAGTCTTCTCTTGTTAAGGCTGAACATTTCTAATTACTGTTGTTGATGGTTTTCCTAACTTTTAGGACAGGTCCTTACAATTTAGCTTATACAGGTAGTTCATGATTTAACAACCATCACTTAACAATTGCTGTATTCGCTCAACAACCATGGATTCACTTAACAGCAATGGCAACAGATGCTAACAATGACCACAAAAAAAGTAAAATCAAATCCGGTCAGATGGGTGCTTTGACTTATGACCGTAATAATTTACAACAAGAAATTTACTCCCAGTTGTGGTCATAAATTGAGGACTACTTTAACTAAAAATCTAAAAGTAATGAATTTTATTGTTTAATAGGATCACATAACATTTTAACTATCTCAGAGTTTTAAGTTGGGAGAAATAAAACAGCCCTTATAGCATGCTTAGCTGAAAGCTAAGAGGTTAAGACAGTTGTTT